TGTGTTAGAGAAATATTTATGCTTAGTGTAAACATTCTGTGAATGAAGTTGATGCTTCCGTGGAATATATTAATATATTACTGTATATCCACATTTTCATGGAATGGTACAGTGGGAGACTGAGCAAACACTCTTCTGGCAACTTAGTGGAACAACTCAAAAAAGGCTTTGCATGCTTGCTTCTTTAAGCTGCTTTTTTTTTTTTTTTTTTTTTCTTTCTTTAGTGAATACAGTAGTCTATATTTGATGAAAAGAAAAAAGTAACCATCAGCATTTCCTCCCAGGAGAACTGTTAGCAGGCTGACACGTGGCAGCCAATGGAGCAGCTGCCAAGGGATTTGTGTGGATTTTCGTGCTGCCCTTGGGGCGTGGTGGACAATAATCATCGCTCATTTGTCACCTCGTGTCCTTTGCTCACGTGTGTTGGATGATGGTGTTGATGGAATTCTTGTCCTTTGCAGCCAGCTCTGGGTTTTTGGTGTGGTGGTTGAGGGTGGCTGAGGCCTTTGCAGGACTCGTGTAATGTGTTCATCACATGTGCTTTGGTGTGAGCCCTGGCAAAGGAGGGGCTTGGGAAACCTCGGTGTAAGCAGTCAGTGTTACTGGTGATTTCTTTTGCTTTTTTTGACCCCTCTAGGATCCCCTTTCACTTGTAAAGTATACTTTATTTGGCCTAATGTTTTCTAGATGTAAAGAAAATGGTATTTTTTAAAGAAAATTAATCTAGAAATTCAATCCTTTATGCACCAAAGTTGGCTTTGAAAAGGAAAGTAAAATCATTTTCTTGCTTAATAAGCAAGGAGCCGTGGATTTTTTTTAACTGACAAATAGAGATGTGTCTAACCTGTTAGTCTTTGTATGGAGACAAAAATGTTGCATATAGATAATAGGACATTGCTTGTAAATATTTCAGCAGATTTGTAATATATTTTTATATTATGAAATGTACTGTAGATGTTTTTTCTAGAGGCATGAAAGGTAAAATGTATATATGATGGTAGAAATAATATTGAAGGATATTGTAATTCACTAGTGCTGCCAGAAGAATTGTTTAAAAAAAGCACCTTCCTTAACAGTAAAAAAAAAAAAAAAAACCTTCTTTTTACATACCTAAGGGACTATATACTACTGTTAGTATCTGTTGTAAGAACAAAAATACATTGAACATCCTTCCCAGAAATCTTAGAGGGATGAATAGTACCCATAATTAATTGATGGCACTCCTTTCTAATAGTGAACACACAATTAGTTTTTTCCTTGCTGTCGGAAGGAACTAATATGTAAAATTTGTATGGATATATGCAGTCAAACTGCAGAGTTAGTCCTCCTTATTGGGGAGGAATTTACTACAGTGAAACTAATAACCAGCAGTTTTTACACTAAATTTTTATGAAATAGATTAAAACTTAAAGTAACCCTTTGGTTGCAGAAGTGAGCATATCCTAATGGAATACAAATGCATTCTGCATTGGTACTGACACGTGTCTTGCTTGGCTCCAGTGGGTTCAAAATGTTACTTATATACACAAAAAAAAAAAAATAATCTTATCAATGATATGAAGTGCAGATTAAAAGCACCACTAATATAAGATGTTCTGGAATGGTTGTTTAATAAGGGTATTATTCATAAAATCTGTAGTGACGTGACTTTATTTTTGGAAAAAATGCAGTGTTTTGGTTTTTTATTTTTATTTTTTTTTTTTGCTTGAGCACTTCACCTACTGCTTTTTCTGTACCTATAAAGTAATCCGTAATCTTTGTTTCTTTTTTTTTTTTTTTTAATTTTTTTATAAATTGCCAAATAAAAGGGTTTCAGATATAGTTTGTATTTGTATTTTTTTAATTTTATTGCTTCATGAGTTTCTTGTAAGTCATTTATAATTGACAGATGATTGTAGACCTTGCCTGAGTATTTTTTCTAATAAAACAAAGCAAACAAACCTCGTAAGCTTCAAAATTGTCCCATTTCTATGGAGTTTTCAAAAACAAATATACAACCACACTGTTTCCTGTGTGAGTTGCAACACACACCTTTACAGAAGGGGGAGTTCATGGATTCAAGTATTGTGGTGTTCATGTAAAATGTGACTTTTCCTGAGTTTGAAAAAGCTGTTATCTGCTATTCTAAGGGCAGAGTTTCTGCTTTGGAAGGAAAAACCAGTTTAAATAAAACATCTGTGAAGTGATGGATAGATGGGATTTAATTAAACTTTCCATAATAGTCAAAAGGTAAGTGCATATTTGGCTGGTTTTTACCTTATCAAAGTGAATTGCTGAAACTATTCAGTTATTTGCATGCTACAGGTTTGGGAATTACCTGGTGGTGTTTTGTTTCAAATGCCAGTGCCGTTCTCTGAAGCTCTGCTGCAGTTTTTGTGTTTGCCCCTGGGTAGATTTCCATTTTTTTGGAACACCAGGTCCATGGAACTGCCACAGGGGTGCTGATCACTGTCCTGAAAATAATCTTATTCTTACTCATGAAAAGTGTTTCTGAAATAATTGGCCTCTCCCCTTTTAAGTAATTCCATGTGCTTTGCTTTGGGATGTTTGGGATGTCACATTTCAAGGTTTCTCCCTGTCTTTCTCAAGAACATTTTTTTCATGTTAGGTTTTCCAGACATCTCCACATTGCATTCCCTCCCAGCTTGAGTGTTTATTTTCTTTGTAGAGAAATGTCAGCTCCTTGAAAGTCACACTTTTTGGGGAGTTGCAGTGTCCATGAGTATCTGTGTTCAGAGTCCCATTCTTCTGGAATGTGTTGGCTCGAATTGGACAGTGTTCTGAAATGGAATAACAGGATTTTGGAGTGAGGGATTGTGCTTGGGGCTCTGCCTGATGCTTCAGTGGATGGAAATTTTTGTCTGGGAAACCCTGCTGGCATTTGGGCATAGCACACAGCTGATTGTTTGATACTGGATCTGTTTGCTAAAGCACCTTAATAATCTGTTTATTAAAGACACAGCAGAAACAAATCGGTATTTTTCCTAATTTGAATATCATTTTCTTCTTACTTTGAATATAATTTCTAAAATCACTGTGGGTCTTTCAGATTTTGGCCAAAATGTGCAATAGGTTGCATTGTATTTTTCCTCTATAGTCCATGAAATAATTCTATCAATCATTTCAAATTGAATTGCACATTAATTCTGGACTAGCTTCATTTGGAGCAAGCAGTGAATTGTGTTCAAACATGCATTGTTTTTAATGATGGAAATTCAAGTGGTTGATTTCTGTTCCCTTCAGCTTTTCAGTACTGGGTGTGAATTAATTAGTGCAGAAGACTGGTCTTGTTTAATACTTCAGTCTGAAATTGATGATTTATTCTCACTGAATGCTTTCTTGCCTTGACAATTTAAATTTGTGAATAACCCGATCCTAAGTGTTCCTCTTGTCATATTAATGTATGACAAGTGCAACAGAAGAAAATCATATAATAGGAAAGTTGGCTTTTAAAAAAGCAGCTGAATCTTTGACTTCTTTCAGCCATTGGTGTTTATTTATTCCAAGCAAAGAATATTCTGGTAAACTTCATTGAGTCAACTTTTATTAAAAAAATTCTGTGTTATGTTTTGGGGGAGGGGGAGATGAGCAGCACCTGCACTACTGTTGTGAACAACACAAAAACTTGTACTGCAACCTCAAAGCAGTTTAATGTGTAATTTCTGAAATGACTTTGGAACAGACAGCAGTTCTGATGCACAGCAGCTTCCTGTCCTTTCGGGGTGATGGCAGAATTGGGAATTCTCTGGTGTTACTCACAAAGCTCGTGGGGTCACCCAGGCCAGGAGTTGACGTTCTCTGGGCTGCACATTTGGGTGGAGAAGGGAAGGAGGAGCTGCTGCTTCTGGGTTTGGTGGCTTTTGGAAGTTGAGAGCTCAGCTCAGGGCTGGAAGGAGCTGTGGTCTGGAGATCTGAGCTCATTTCCTCTTCTCTCCCACGGAAATCCATGCCCTTATCTCGAAGTCTTATCTGGAGAAGAGTTAAAATCAGGACGTGTCTGCACTGTGGAGTAAGGAGATGTAGTTCAAAGAGTCAAGGGAATAAAATTGTGTTGATTACACACAAAAAGGAGGCTCCTGGTTGTCAGCCAGTTGAGGATAAATTCAAGTAATGCAGTTGTTTGTGAAGATTAATGTGCTGTGATTGATGCTACATTATTTGTTTTTCCTAATTCTAAAACTAGCCCTTTGAACTTTTGTAAATCCTCCTCGGTAGTAAAGCAACAAATACTAAGTAATATGATAAATCTGTTTATTTCTTCCCAAATGAGAGCTAATTGCTGATAACGTGCCCTTGGCTTGGCTTGTGTGCAGGAGATTTGAGTCCTGTCTGTTGGATGCTGTTCAAAAGAATTATCAGATTTTAATATCCTTTCGTGTTGCTTTGCCTGTTTGTAGCCTCAGTGCAGGATGAGGGATCCCCACGTGGATTTACAGAACTGCTCTGATGTGAGACCCTCAATTGCCCTTTGGTTAATCAGGGACTACTGACTGTCTCAAAGGGGCAGACTTGGAGAAAAGGAGAACCTTGAAACTTTGTGAAACGATCCAAGAATGTCCCTTTGGTCAGCTGGGACACCCCCAGCCCCTTCCGTGGCAGGACAGCAGGAGAAGATGCCAAATCCTTGACCGAGTGCTCAGCAAAAAGTGCGGGATGAGTGTGACACCAGCAGCCTTGTCATCCCAAATGCACAGCAGCGCTGTACCAGCTGTTAGGGAGGAAATGCCTCCATCCCAGCTGAAATCGGGACACGGGAGTAGAAACCGAATCCCCCATCCAGACTCTGGGATCTCTTTTTTTCTCAGTGTCATTGCTCAGCCGTGATTTTGGCTTGGGTCACCCGTGGAACATCGTGTTAGGCTCCTGTGGCTCAGTGGCATTTGCAGACATGAGGAGTCTCCCCAGTGCCTCCCTGACTTTAGGAGGTCATGGATATTTGACTTGTCTACCTCTGTTCAAATC